AGGTCAAACACGAGGAGCACAAGGTCAAACATGAGGAACAAACATGGAGCAAAAGGTCAAACACAAGGAGCACAAGGTCAAACACGAGGAACAAACATATCAAGCATAAGGTCAAAGACGAGGAGCACGAGGTCAAAGACAAGGAGCACGAGGTCAAAGACGAGGAGCATGAGGTCAAACAGGAGGAGCACAAGGTCAAAGACGGGAGCACAAGATCAAACACGGGAGCACAAGGTCAAACACGAGGAGCACAAGGTCAAACACGAGGAACAAACATGGAGCAAAAGGTCAAACACGAGGAGCATGAGGTCAAACACGAGGAGTATGAGGTCAAACACGAGGAGAACAAGGTCAAACACGAGGAGCACAAAGTCAAACACGAGGAGCACGATGTCAAACACGAGGAACAAACATGGAGCAAAAGGTCAAACACAAGGAGCACAAGGTCAAACACAAGGAACAAACACATCAAGCATAAGGTCAAAGACGAGGAGCACGAGTTCAAAGACGAGGAGCACGAGGTCAAACATGAGGAGCACGAGGTCAAACACAAGGAGCACAAGGTTAAAGACGAGAAGCACAAGGTCAAACACGAGGAGCACAAGGTCAAACACGAGGAACAAACATGGAACAAAAGGTGAAAGACGAGGAGCACGAGGTTAAAGACGAGGAGCGCGAGGTTAAAGACGAGGAGCGCAAGGTCAAAGACGTGGAGCACAAGGTCAAAGACGAGGAGCACAAGGTCAAACACGAGGAGCACGAGGTCAAACAAGAGGAGCATGAGGTTAAAGATGAGGAGCACGAGGTCAAACACGAGGAGCACAAGGTCAAACACGAGGAACAAACATGGAGCACAAGGTCAAACACGAGGAGCACGAGGTCAAACACGAGGAGCACGAGGTCAAACACGAGGAGCACAATGTCAAACACAAGGAGCACAAGGTTAAACACGAGGAGCACAAGGTCAAACACGAGGAGCGCTAGGTCAGACACGAGGAGCGCAAGGTCAAAGACGAGGAGCGCTAGGTCAGACACGAGGAGCGCTAGGTGAAAGACGAGGAGCGCAAGGTCAAAGACGAGGAGCGCAAGGTCAATGACGAGGAGCGCAAGGTCAAACACGAGGTATGAAGAATAATCTTCAAGGAACCTAGATTATTCATTCAGCCCTCTGAACAGCAAGTGGCCATCAGGTCACTAACGATCACTTGTTAGGATTATGATCCTCCCTGATCATGTGAACAGCTAGTTCTGGATGTCAACAACAAACTGGTTGATCCACTATGAGAAGGTGCTGCTTATAAGACTGAGTTTAGTGCAGCTCCTCAGACTGAAGAAGTCTTTTGGATAAAATATGAAATGTTAAAAAAAAAAAAGAATCTGTCCAGAGGACCTGACTGAACGTTGTTAGAATGTACAAGGAATGTTTCCAACAGCTCGTAGAACCGATGACACCAAGAATGAGACTGCTCTAAAAGCTAAAACGGGGGCTGACCCAAGGTGGACCTATTGAGGGTTCGACCCAGTTCTAGCAAGGTGGACTTATCAAAGAGGGTCCAACTCAGTCCCAACAAGGCCGACCTATCAAAGAGGGTCCAACAGAGTTCTAGCAAGGTGGACGGCTGTGACTGAGTGGTTAGAGCAGTCGTCCACCAATGCAGCAGTTGGGGGTTCAAATCCACCAGCAGTCACATGCCGACGTGTCCCTGGGCAAGACACTGAATCCTTCATTGCCTCTGATGTGTGTCCCATCAGTGTCTGAATGTGATAAAGCTCTGATTAGTCCTTTATGATGATTGGTTCAATTAGCTTTGTAGAGATCTAGTATAGAGCTGTATGAATGGGTAGATGAGGCACAGATTGTTGTAAAGTGCTTTGAGTATCTGGATAAGATAGAAAGGAGCTGTATAGGTGCAGTCCATTTACCTATCAAAGAGTTTCCAACTCAGTCCTAGCAATGTGGACCTATCACAGAGGGTCAAATCCAATACTTGCAAGGTGGACCTATTAAGGAGCGTCCAACCCAGTCCCAGTAAGGTGGAACTATCAAAGAGGGTCCAACTGAGTCGTAGCATCCAACTAGCAGCTGGTGGCATGGTGTACTTCATAAAATAGCCAGTGAGTGATTTTTTTCTTTTTAAAATCTAAAAGTAAGTTTGCATCATCCAATGACCACTTGAGATGGGTAAAGTCAGGTCCAACACCGGAACATTTCTGATGGTCCTCACCTCCGTCCTCTCCTGGTCGTTTCTGGCCAGGAAAGTAAAGTGTGGACTCGCCACTTCCTGAGGAGCTGTTCAAGTGGGACATGGTTTCTCCACCCATCTTACCCACCATCTGAAAAACAGAAAAAGGTTTCAACACAAGAATTACTGGACGGTCATTAGTGGTGTAACGGTGCACGTGGGTGTACTGAACCGTTTCAGTAATTGTTTCACTCATTAAATTTTATTAACGAGAGCCTGTGCACCGCGGAACTAAAGTTCCTAAGCGTGTTTCAGCACGGCGCTGTTATCTCGCAGCACACGCAGCACACGCAGCCTAGCGTGTCGTTGTGGTCTCCTGCTTGGGAACATTACGTCTTTCTTGTTAAAAGACGAGTGGACAGATCAAAGCTGTGGGTGGACGTTGTTTCACGGAGACTGGATCTGCAGCAGCAGCACGTCGAACTCGTTAACAACGTGAAACGACATCATCTGAACGTGAACGTCTCTTCTAGCAGCTTGTAGCAAAGAGCGATGGCAGCAGCATCTAAACAACTTCATCAGGTCGTTCAGATCCGCCCAGAGCAACAACACGAGCTGCAGGAGCTTTTAAAACTCTGGAGCCGTTTCTGTTGTTGATGCGCCGCCTTTAAAGTTACTGAGCCCCGCCACGACATCACGTCAACACTTCAGCCAAAAAGTTGCAGCAGCACTTTATGAAAAAGATCAAACTGATCATCAACCAGCCCCGGACCAGATGATCATCAACCAGCCCCGGA